ATGTGTGGTGTGCTAGTTTGTTGACCCGATATGTAGGTTTTTGTTGTGGTCGTCCTGCATGTTTCTGCAGGCAAGTGGAGGTTATACGTACACGAGTGGCACTTTTGCTACAACTGCTGTGGTTGTTGCAAATACCGGCAAATACCTTTGTTGTTTTCCTCGTCACCAATTCTGTTTCTTATTTCCGTTCTTGTTCCTTTTCTTGTTTTATATAATCAGGGACCGCGTGGCATGAAAGGGGAGAGGGTGGAGTTAGGAAGGTTATACGGACAATGAGGGGAAAAGGATTGCAGACAAGTAAAAAGCTAAGAGTCTGAGAAGAAGCTGCTGCTACTACTACTACTACTACTTCTACTACTACTACTGCTGCTGCTGCGAATGCTAACAGTTGTACTATGTCGTATATTCGCATAAGCTTGGCACAGAGAGCCTAGTTCATCAGCTAGTTCACATCATTTCCTTTGTTACCTTTGAAGAAAAAAAAACAAACAGAATCAGCCTGTTATGTAAAATTTACTGTTCGTCTGTCGCTGCCGTTCTGTATTTCTTTCTCTGCAACCCTCCCCAGCCAGAGTCCGTGCACTGTGCTGAGTCTCTTCCGACTCGGACTTGAGTTGGAAGAAAAACGGAGCACTTATGGGTTACTACCCGTGTGTTATGATGTTGATCCGTTGTTCAAACCTCTGCAACCCCCCCCCCCCCTTCCCATCTTTGTCTATCTCTTAATCTCCCATTAGCGTTCACCGGCTGTAAACTCCGGTGGGAAGTTCTTGTTGTCCACTTTGTTTCCACATCTCTCTCACTCTCTCACACACACACTGTCTCTTTATCACTCTCTGTCTCCCCTACTCACGTTTTGCTGTCTCCCTATATTTTTCTTGATGACAATCTTTTGTAGTCAGGTTTCCTCGACAAATATCTCATTAAGCTTCCGCGTCTTGTCTTCACTTCCCGTTTCCGTTATGATTTGGCTAATTTCCATGGGTTCCCGCATTGATAACTGCAAAGCCTCATTCACATATTCTCTAGACAGTCGTCAGCTGCGGACTCTGTAGCCGGATACACTGGAGAAGCAGGGATGCATCGATCAGTTTTTGTAAAGAAAAATAAAGAATACAGTAATAATACTTACCTGGGAAATCAGAATATATTCACAGACGCTTATCGAACGTCTCAATGTGAAACAACGCTCATCATCATCATGAAGCAGGTCCTTTTGCAAAACGTCGCTCTCATCACAGTCTGCCTGAAAGAAACTCGGTCTCTGACCAGTTCTCCCGCCTCATGTACTTTCATACTCAAGGAGTAATCTGTGCCCATATTCTTATCGGTCGACCCCTGCCCCTTCTTCTTGGTACCATGCCTTCTGCTATAATTGTTTCCAATCCGTCGTGGCGCTTGATATGACCAAAATATTTCAGCTTCTGAGACAGGATGCTGTTTATTAGCCAATCTTCCTTGGTGGTGATGTTCAGATCTGTCAAGATGTTAGTATTTCTCCTCTTCTTTGTCCAAGATATTCTGAGAATCTTTCTATAGCATTTCAGCTCAAAAAACGACACTACAAACCCATAAAGAAGAACGAAACAGTTGGGGAGGAGGGGCTGCTCTCTGTTCGTGACTGATTGCTGAACCTAAATCTGCCTAGTCAAACCGTAAACAGCCAATAAACGCTGATGTTGGTGTGCCGTGTTGTGTCAAAGATCGCAGCTAACTTTTTTTTTAATTCCCTCTTCTGTTATTCCTTCATGATCGCCACCCCTGTTTTTGTTTCCATAGCAAGGCTCACACGTAGTTTGGAGGTGACAGTTTCGATTTCCGGCACGGTAACTTTATCTTTCGATTTTTATGTTGTCTAGTGTGTTCTTTTATTTTTTTTTCCTTCTTTCTGTGAGTGCCGACACATTGCAAGTTTGTTTAATAATAATATCGAACTTAACCAGTGCCATCTGCGCATGACAGGCCAACTGTAATTTCTGCCAACACTTGCTTCCTCGTATTGTACTGAGAGGCATCTTCCACCCTTCCATGGTGTTAAACACACACTTATTGCTTTCTCCTACAGCATTTAACCATTTACTTCTGTACATATTCCATTCTTGAAGGCAGCAAGTTACAGTAACATGTCTAAAACCGGCGGACACATTAGCACTCTAAACTTTGCCTAAGTCAATCCCAGCGCTGACCTGATTCAGAACCTGGTTGCATGCCACCTTTCTCTCTGTAAGAGCGACGTGCCCGAGCCAGTATAACAGCTCCGGCTGGTTTCTTGCTTCAAGTGGTCAAGAAAAGGTTGGGAAAAGTCTTCGTGGAAATAACAGTTGGGTACCGGGTCGGAAGACAAGACAGTACACCGACCTGACTGCTACAGGTCCCGAGTGTTTGTCTAGGCAGTCTGAACTTGAGTGTTTCAGTTTAATTCTTACAGAGATTGGCAACCAGGTATACACATGATGGAACAGATCTGTCGTCAGCAGTAAGTCATCCTACGTTATTACACTGTCAGCAAACAGATGTGCATGCAACACTCAGGTTCTGCAACAAGAAAGTCATGAGGTGGACAAACAACCAGATCTTTCTGCTGAAGTTTACATCCAGCTGGTGAGCGCGAAGAAGAAGAGGTACAAAAAAAAACAACAACCACCAATGCGTTGGAATCTGGTTTCAGGGATATCAGAAACTGTTAGTGAAAGACCGTCGTGGGATAGAGCCCTATAAAAAGAACCGTAAACACTGCATTCTAAAAATAGCACAGGGAAATGTCGGTTTTGTTATGTGCTTGCGTGTTGCTTTAACGCTCTGGCAGTGTGGGGGCGCGTACCAGACACATTTCACGTCAGTAGTATAGTGCTATAGTCCGTTCCAGAAAGCCGAATGCAAAACAGTCGTATTGACCCATACATGAGTTTTCAAGTTATTTGTTAACATGTGAGGGTACGCCTTTTGAAATGTACTGTAGTAGACATGTACTGTAGTAGACTTGTACTGTAGTAGACTTGTACTGTAGTAGACTTGTACTGTAGTAGACATGTACTGTAGAAGACTTGTACTGTAGTAGACTTGTACTGTAGTAGACATGTACTGTAGAAGACATGTACTGTAGAAGACATGTACTGTAGAAGACATGTACTGTAGTAGACTTGTACTGTAGTAGACTTGTACTGTAGTAGACTTGTACTGTAGTAGACTTGTACTGTAGTAGACTTGTACTGTAGTAGACTTGTACTGTAGTAGACTTGTACTGTAGTAGACTTGTACTGTAGTAGACTTGTGCTGTAGAAGACATGTGCTGTAGTAGACATGTGCTGTAGTAGACTTGTGCTGTAGTAGACTTGTGCTGTAGTAGACTTGTACTGTAGTTGACATGTACTGTAGTAGACTTGTACTGTAGTAGACTTGTACTGTAGTAGACATGTACTGTAGTAGGCAGACATGTACTGTAGTTGACATGTATTGCAGAATGTGGAAAGCTAGACATTGTTGTGTTTGCTGCTGGTTATTATATATAGATACAGCCAGTGGACAGCATCGTTTGTGAGTCTTGAATTTGATGTGACTGTACGATTATTTCTGTCTCTTGCCAATTTCTCTTTAACTACATAGACTCACTTGTATCACCACAAGAACAGGGTTTTGCATGTGAGGTGTAAATTTAGACAGGAGAATGGTTGCCATAATTCTCATTGCAGCCAAACCGTTTCTAGCATTGTTGATCCTAGTGTCAACTTAGAATCAGCAGCTAAGGTTCTGATCAAAACTTACTAAGTATTTTAAAAGTTCGTTCATTGCTATCTCTTCAACATTCGTATGCACATAAGGGGTTATTGTGTGTCCTATATGGTTGTTCAAAGAGAACCAGGTTGCAATCAGTCTTGCAGGGTTAATTCAGTGCTTTCTCCAGCTGAAGAGCCATGGTCAGAATTGGGGTAACAAAGGCCAGATCAGTAACACTGTCTATATCACCAGGGCGTAGGGCTAGTCGAGTATTTATTCATTTGTTTTGGAGGTCTTTCTCTTGTAGATTAGAGCAGACCTTTACCCACGTCTTTCCCTGGCATTGATATCAGAATATCACCTGGTCCATGCTTTTGATTATTTTACTTAAGACTGCATCATACTTCGGTTGTAGACGTTAATTAGAGTGAATGTTTGTGATGTTACTTTACACAAACGACGATGGGCAGTTGAATATTTTCAAGGCTCCCTGTAGACATTCTGCTAGAGTTGCTAGTAGAATAGCTTGTCCATGGTGTTGTTTGTTGTCAAATGCTTTCAAGCCAGTAAACCTTATTTCTTCATGGAGTTTTGTTTCTAGTAGAACGCAATGATGATAATCTGCGGGCCACTTGCTAGACCCAGTGTGTGAGATTCAGCCTGCAGGCCTGAGTTAGAACAGCCCTCTGCTTAGATTTTATAGACCAATCAGATCTACATGTGAGGTGATATGGTCAACATTATGCCAACCTTGTTTACTTCCCTAGGGCTTTACCTGGTACCCATTCAAGTCTAGGTCGACGTATGAGCCAAGGTCATATGTTTTTGGAAAAAAGTCCAGCTTCTTTTGGATTTGAACCCATGACCTTTGGATCCACAGGCGGGTGCCTAGCTGTTAATCATGGAAACTCTCTCATGCCGTCTGCTGTAGTTGTTTTTTTTCCAGTCTCTGTGGCGCTTGACATGGCCAAAATATTTCAGGTTCCAAGACAAGATGCTGTCTACCACCCAGTTTTTCCTGTCATGGTCAGATCTTTTTAGGATATCAATATTTCTTCTTTGTCCATGGAGTTTTTCTGTAGCATTTCAGTTTAAAAGCCTCTGTTTTTTTTAAGGACTGCGAGATAATACACAATGCCTTATTGTTGTCTGTAATTAAAGGTCAATAGACTGCAATGTTAAATACTTCTCTGTCTGACTATTAACTTATGCTGTTTGTTTCAATTTAGAGTCTAGCATAGGAACAGGCAAGCAGCAGCAGAGACAGGAAAGCCAGTGGCTTAGCAATGCCGGCCACACAGAAGGGTGTCAGTGTATGCTACTATGAGGTGCTAGGCATAGAGAAGACTGCAACAGAACAAGAGATTAAGAAAGCGTAAGTTCCAATCCTCCTCCTTATGTAAAACATATGCAATAAGTCGTCTTCTACTTGCAGTAAGTAGTTGATGACCTTGGGCTTGTCGTCTAGGAGATGATGTGTCTAGTGAATGCTCTTAGCACACATTCTTAGGATGGCATAACTGGGACAAGCCGACACCGACTTCAAAGTACGATACAGTTTATTAACATCTCATCATTTACATAGCAAATCCTGTCCGTGTCCTTCTTCACAGCTTACACGCACCACATCGTTCAGACGCCAACATGCTGACCTCTCACACACTCATCGACCAGAGTTCGTCGCCTTCACTTCCACATCGCCGAATAGATGGATCTGGTCATTATCACAGACTGGCCTTGCTGAACTTGGCTTCAGTGGATGTTGTTGTCTGGTCTTTCTTTCGCAACACTCAGTTTCACGTTGTCATTCTCACAAACACTCTCAAGTCCTCTCACTCTGACGGCCAACAAATACTAACTTGATCAGACTAGAGTCTGACCCTATACCCAGTGTTCGTTCCACGTCGTTGTTCTTGAGTTCCACATGGTGACGTGTGGTCATTCTTCGTGGTCGTCCCTTATCTTAAAAACCTCAGTTAATCCGAGTATCTGGCTTCTTTCGGTATTATTGTTAGCTTGGGGCTTTTCCCCCAACCTTTCCTAATCCGGGTGAAAATATCCCCCATTACACATACTTCTTCCAGAACCTTTTTCTTCTTCTTCCTTCCCTGTCTGTTATCCATCCATAGACTAAAGACCCTTAAACAACTCATGTGAAGAACTGAAGAGGAAAACAAAATGTTCACTCACGTAGGCTATCAAATGAAAAGTTTTGGGATGGCTGGGACATGTTTTCAGAGTGCCGTGTAACACTTTGGCTGTCCACTAGATGGTCAATGGGAAAAGTGACATGGACAACCCAGTGAAACCTGGAGAAGGACAGTAGAAAGAGACATATGATACTATAGGCAGAAAAGCAGCAGACAGGCGGCAGGGAGTTCACTTGTGAATGCCTTATAAGTCAACAATTCCATGCGCAGGATATAGATAGCTAGAGATCTTTGAAACAAAATATTTGGTAATTTTATTTCTTTTCCCTCTTCTGCTTCTCCTTCTTCTCTTCCTCCTCCTTCTTCTCCTTCTCCAACGTCTTCTTCTTCTTCTTCTTCTTCTTCTTCTTCTTCTTCTTCTTCTTCTTCTTCTTCTTCTTCTTCTTCTTCTTCTTCTTCTTCTTCTTCTTCTTCTTCTTCTTTTTCAGTCTTGTTCCAGAACCTTAGTATTGTGTGCACATTTGTATGCAGACTGTTGGTTCCTTGCCTTTCATACAAATGCACTCTCATTTTTAAGGAAACCCCAGTTAGTTTACTCCCATGATATGTTTGTTGGGGAGGCAGTGGGTCTGTTCCTTTTTTCTCACAACAGGGCCTCGGAACTCATACTAGGATTTTTTCTTTAAAGTAAAAGTCATTATTTAACTCTGTAGTCATATTTTCTTTTAAAACTTGGTAAAGTTGAAACAAGAAACATTTTTTTCTTTTTATACAATAGGTATCGACGACTAGCACTGAAATGGCACCCAGACAAAAATCCAGAAACAAAGGATGAAGCAAAAATAAAGTTCCAGGAAATATCTGAGGCGTACGATATACTTTCAGACAGTAAGAGTTTTTTTTTCCTCTGTGTAACTGTTTATGGTGTTTCATATTGTTTTGTGAACAAATCGCCTGCTCATATATTGGCTGCATACCTGTATGTGTTCATGGTATTTAGTGTTGTGACGTGAATAAATCACTCAAATCTTTGTTGCATACCTGAATGTGTTCATGGTATTTAGTGTTGTGACGTGAATAAATCACTCATATCTTGGTTGCAAACCTGTATGTGTTCATGGTATTTAGTGTTGTGACATGAATAAATCACTCATATCTTGGCTGCAAACCTGTGTGTGTTCATGGTATTTAGTGTTGTGACATGAATAAATCACTCATATCTTGGTTGCAAACCTGTATGTGTTCATGGTATTTTGTGTTGTGACATGAATAAATCACTCATATCTTGGCTGCATACCTGTATGTGTTCATGGTATTTAGTGTTGTGACATGAATAATTCACTCATATCTTGATTGCAAACCTGTATGTGTTCATGGTATTTAGTGTTGTGACGTGAATAAATCACTCAAATCTTTGTTGCATACTTGAATGTGTTCATGGTATTTAGTGTTGTGACGTGAATAAATCACTCATATCTTGGCTGCATACCTGTATGTGTTCATGGTATTTAGTGTTGTGATGTGAATAAATTACTCATATCTTGGCTGCATACCTGTAAGTGTTCATGGTATTTAGTGTTGTGACATGAATAAATCACTCATATCTTGGCTGCATACCTGTATGTGTTCATGGTATTTAGTGTTGTGACGTGAATAAATCACTCATATCTTGGTTGCAAACCTGTATGTGTTTATGGTATTTAGTGTTGTGACATGAATAAATCACTCATATCTTGGCTGCAAACCTGTGTGTGTTCATGGTATTTAGTGTTGTGACATGAACAAATCACTCATATCTTGGTTGCAAACCTGTATGTGTTCATGGTATTTAGTGTTGTGACATGAATAAATCACTCATATCTTGGCTGCATACCTGTATGTGTTCATGGTATTTAGTGTTGTGACATGAATAAATCACTCATATCTTGGTTGCAAGTTGGAACAGAATTAACTTAAATAATTGTTCAGAGCATAAAGAGTTAAAATTACTGAGCAGAAATAAAGGGAATGTCTTGATTTGAAGCAACAGTAATGCTGTATATAGTAGACAATAACTTGCATAAGATGGGCTTACAGAGACACCTGCTCTGGGGACAGAAAAGGTAAGAGCTCTAAGGAGACAAGCTAATCAGTGAAGCAAACATCAGGGAAGTAATTGTCACCAATGTGGGTTTTCCATCCTAGAACACACATGAGAAATAATTACAGGCCCCATGCATAGTGGAGTCTGGTTATAAAAAACAGGTGTTATGTTTAACTTGGGCACACACACAGAGTCAAATGTTACAGATGGAGTAGGGAAATGATGCAGAAATACAGCAACAGGGGATGGCTGTGTGGTGGACACTAAGAAGCATTGTCTAGGTTTTCTTATGTGATGGTGGTAGTGATGATTATTATGGTCAAGTCAGTGTGTCCTTAGAGTGAGTGGAGGAGTTAGTTTGTGAGTTTTTGTCAGTATTAGGATATTTAAATGCTTGGGTAAGAAGTTAATCGTTAAACCCAGTCTTGTCTGTCCTAATGCTTTTATGAAATGATAAAATAGACAAATGTCATCATCATCATCATCATCACTATTAAGGACTTACCAGTTGACATGTCTCTGCATAGCTGTTTCTCTCCAGTATCAATGCTGCTAAGTTTTCTTTGCAATGGTGCAATGCTATATTGTGAATGTTTTTGTTGCCTTTCTGTGTCCCCCCCCCCTCCCCCCATTAATCATTTTGTTTGTCTTTGTTGCCTGCCTTTGTCTCTTCCCATGAACCTATTTAGTATTTTGCATTCCTTTTTTCTGTTTCCATTAATCTCATCAATATTTTTTTTAACTGCATTTTTCACTTTCTGTCAATCTCATCAGTACTCTTTTGATGCCTTCTCTTTCTAGGATTCTCACTAGTATTTTTAATAGCCTTTTTTTGTTTCATTTAGTGGGACCAGTATTTGTTAGTGCCTTTTTCTTTTTCTCCTAAAGATGTTAGTTTGCCCTTCTGTCTCACTTTGTGTGAGTGTGTGTGTGGTCCATTGGTCTCATCAGTATTCATTATTGCCCTCTTCTTTATTTGTTAATCCCGCCATTATTTATAATTTCTCGTTTCCACTAAGGGACCAATATTTTTGTTGTTGCTTTCTTCTCTTCTCATTAATTCTGCCAATTGCTTGTTTTGCTGTCTCCTCTGTCTGTTTCTATTTATCAAATTGTTTGTCTTGCAGCTTTCCATTGTGTCTTTCCACCGTTCCCATTACTTTGGGATTCATCTCTCTGTTTTTATTAATCTCACCAGTAATATTCTACTGCATTCTCTTTCCTTCAGTATTACCAGTTTTTATCTTGCTCCCTCCCTTGAGACTGTGCATCCAAATGAATCAGTGGGGATGTAGTATGTGTGGTGTGTGTGTGTGAATATATATATATATTTATATATATATATATATATATATTATATATATATATATATATATATATATATATATATATATTTATATACATTGTGTGGTGTGGGGGATGTGTGTGCACGCGCACCTGCATGCATACATACTTGCAATCATGCAAGTGTGTGTAAGTGGTGGAGGAGTGCATGAGTTGGTGTGTGTTTAAAAAAAAATTTTATCAGGCCTTTCATTATTTTTATTTTTTTATATTCAAAAAATGCATATTATGTTATAAACATAACATGCTTCATTGATAAAATACAAATGCTGTGTGAAAGATGGGTGTTAAGGGCCAAATGTAAAGATGGGCCCCCGTGCCCAGCTTGTGACCCTTTAAAAATAGGTTTTTTTTGTTGTTTGTTCGTTCTCTCTTCTTTAAAAACAAATTGAAATTTGTTGTTGATTAAAAATTGAAGGTGCCAGTTGATTGCATTCCAGCATTTTAAAATAATATTTGTTATCCTTGATGTTTATATTATGCAACCTATCAGAATTATCTTTAGATTCGGTTTATTACTATATATTTTAAAAAAAGTTGACTAATGTAAGTATAATTAGAGAACATTCTAGTAATGTTGTGAAAATTATTTTATTATTAACTATGAAATGGTGTACAAATGCAAGGAGTGGACTCAAAGGGCTGAATTTTTGAAATGCCTGCATAACCAATTCTTGACCCTTTGAAAATAAAGTTTGTTTATTCTTTTGTTCTGTTTCCAATATTCTTATGAATTGTTTAGTTTGTTAAAGATCACTTTTACTACACATAAATACTTAAATAAAAGCTTCAGTTTCTTCCCATTGATTATATTTTTCCTTCATGTCCCAGTGGGGTGGTGCATAGGCCATCACCTGAACCATGACAGACCCTTTGTAGACTTGTTCGTGACAGGTTGCGAAATTTGTCTGTGGGATGTGGTAGACCGCCTTCATTAGCCCAACCTTCCTTAGTTGCCTTGTACAGCATGTATGTTAGGTTATAATGTTAGTATTGAGGGACTGCCTGAGGCTAGAGCAGGTATGGTCATGTTTTCTTAACAGTTTTTTTAGGTATTTTATTGTTAACATCTACTAGCCCAGTGCTCGATGGAATCAAAAGGCAGAGGGATATACTTATATTATGAGGTTTCTTGTCTGTATAAGAAGAGAATAGTTATAACAGGATTTATACCCAATGTTCTCAGGCAAAAGGTAAACAGTCGATCACTGATTGCTGATTTTAGAATCAACATCATAGGCTGTTAATCATACCATAGATGCTGTGTCTCCAGCAGCAAATGTCTTAAAATGTAGATGCTGACTGTTGCACCAGCACACTGATTGTGTACACATTACATTGTTTCTTTCTCTCATATGTCCATTCTTGCTGGGTCCACACTTATCCCAACCTCTAAGCTAGTGTTTCCCAACATGGAGCCTATGCTCCACAGGGGGGAATTTTGATGGATAAAAAGAATAGGGGAGAGGAGCAATTTGATTGTTTGCGCCGAGGGTGCAGGGGGTCCAAATTGACTCGTTTAGAGTTTAAGTTACATAGGGAGGAATACGAATGTTAAAAAGGAATAGAAGGAATTAATCAAGTAACAGAAAGTATTGTGAACGACATTCATAGAAAGAAGTAGAAAGATAGAAGAACACACTAGACAACATAAAAATTGAAAGCTATAGTTATCGTGCCGGGAATGGTTCCCCCCTCTGTTTATTTATAAAAAGGAATAGGTGGGTAATGACACCACAAGTTTGGGAAACACTGGTCTAAGCTATTCTACCCCAGCACAAGCCAGATTCATTGAAGCCAATTGAGCACTTGCCTGCATTGTATATATGTTTCTGTTGTGCGGTTCCGTTTGTTGCAATAACTGTGCACATTCTGAACCTGCTTAAAGGAGACAATCAAAATGCCTTGCCGTAAATCCTTCACAGTTTGTGTGCTTGAAAAGTAACCTTTTCACTGATTTCATCAAATAGAACAAACTGCACTATTGTTTGCCCCATAGCGATCAAACCCCCCCACTTGGGCCTCTTCATGAAAGGTAACCAGGCTGTTAGAATCTAATGGACATTGTGTTGACACACACACACCTGGGCTATTTTTGAGCAGCTTAAATTGTTTGATGATTCCTGTACAAACATGACGTAGACATAGAGGAGTTTGCCAGCAGTTTCACAGTGGGGCAGATTGGAAAAAGTTGTCAGTGTTCAAGATAAAATGCCTAATGCCAAATATTGATCAATCATCATCATGTGCTATGCCCGAAAGTGTGATGTACTTTGCTTGCGTGTGCATACACAGACATTTATATATGTATATTGGGCGCATGATGAGAAGTGGAAATAAAATCACTAAACCACCCTGAAAGGAGAAACAAATGGAATGAGGAAACGAGAATGTCCAAGAGAGAGAAAATGGAGACTCTAAGAGATACCCTCAGATTAATGTTGTTGGGAGAAGCTGCAGGCACTAGACTGGATACCATCTGTGAAATAGAAACCATTGCACAGGCTAGAGCAGAGTGGAGGATTAGACTGCCATCCATATGCGATGTGTGATGTCACGACTAGATGATGATGATGATAACACACGCGAGCGCCCCAGCCCGTGTGTGATGTCATGACTAGATAATAATGATGATAACACACGCGAGCGCCCCAGCCCGTATGTGATGTGTGATGTCACGACTAGATGATGATGATGATAACACACCCTAGCGCCCCAGCCCGTATGTGATGTGTGATGTCACGACTAGATGATGATGATGATAACACACGCGAGCGCCCCAGCCCGTGTGTGATGTCATGACTAGATGATGATGATGATAACACACGCGAGTGCCCCAGCCCTTATGGGATGTGTGATGTCATGACTAGATGATGATGATGATAACACACGCGAGCGCCCCAGCCCGTGTGTGATGTCATGACTAGATGATGATGATGATAACACACGTGAGCGCCCCAGCCCATATGTGATGTGTGATGTCATGACTAGATGATGATGATGATAACACACGCGAGCGCCCCAGCCCGTGTGTGATGTCATGACTAGATGATGATGATGATAACACACGCAAGCGCCCCAGCCCGTATGTGATGTGTGATGTCATGACTAGATGATGATGATGATAACACACGCGAGCGCCCCAGCCCTTGTGTGATGTCATGACTAGATGATGATGATGATAACACACGCGAGCGCCCACTTAAGTTAGGTGGCAGTCTTCACACAATGTTGGTATTCATCACTTACCCCCCAGCAGCTTGTTCTTAGTGTGGGTCAAACAGAAGAAACTGGTTTGTTGATTGGACAAACTCTGGAAGTCTTGAGGTCTGACCCTTGACTTCCATTGTTGTCATCTGGTTGCCCAAGTGGCCAAAAAACCCTTGTATGTTGGAACTGACGTGAACTTTCTGCATACGTCTGGAGGAGGACAAACATCCAGAACTTTCCATCAGAGTTTACAGCCAGTCAACATGAAGAAGTGTTGGCAGAAAGACTACTTTGTTTTAATTAGACATAACACATCAGATGTCTCCCTAATTCGTTCAGGCTAGTTTTTCTTTGATCACCTCTCTTCTTCTTCTTTTGTCCTTCTGTCAGAAAGCATCGCAGAGTGGAGTTACTTGTAGTTTCCTGTCTTCTGCTATATGCATAACTGGTTTGTAATGTGTTTAGTTACCCCCTCCCAAGTAAATGATCACACTAAGGTACTCCTGATTCTTAGGCAGAAAGAGTAAAGAACTCATGCTGTGTTGTTTAGTTTAGAAAGCGTTAAGGTTAATATATAAACCAAATTTAAAACAGTTGTATTTTGCTTCATTGCCAGATTTCATGATTGCTTACTGTATTGATTGAGTGAAGGGTAATGAGTGAGCAGACCAGTTGGCAAGCATTGCTTCACCGCATGTGGGAAGAGCATAAACTTGGCTAGTGGACAGTGATGAATTTCTGACACTAGCACACATGCGTGACATGGGAGTGACGCATGGTAAAGCATGCCGCTTTCGAGGCCGAGATAGGAGACATTATAACCAACCTCTCATGGGAACAATTAGAAGAAGTACTTTGGGGTGGCTGCTGCATCGGAAGACTGAGCACCCTTGGGAATGCCCAATGTGCAGTGCTCTCGATTGTGTTATAATATAACGTTGATTAATGTTTTGTGCTTATTTTGTGTGTGTGATATACATTTACCATAACTTTGTTTTAATTAATTTCAGAAAAGAAGCGTGAAGTGTATGACCTGTATGGCAAGGATGGTGTCCTTGGCGGAGGCCACACAGGAGATGAGGAGTTCAACTTTGGTCCGTCTGCATTTGGGGGCTTTCATTTTCATTTCCGGTCACCTGAAGAAATTTTCAGAGATTTTTTCGGCACAGATGATCCCTTTGCTAATTTTTTTGGTGGTAAGTACGCCAGCTAATGGCATGTGTGTGTGTGTTGCTGTTCCACTGCCCCACATAGTGGCTTAGGTTCTTGGCCTCTTAGAGGTGGGATGAGTTGTGTTTTGACATTTTAAGCCCTAAAACATCTGTTTGAATGATGCTTCGCATGTGTGGCTCAGGCGTTATGAATGTGCTTCGTAATTCCGATGCGTCAGGTTTGATTCCAGCTGCAAGCTATGTGGTATCAGACCGCATTGTATTAGTTTTGATATCGGCATCTAGAACCAACTATTCAGACAGCAGTGGCAAACTGCTGAATGTAAACATTGCCTAGGAAGTCACAAACAGCCAAACAAATGTTGGGATTGATTCTCCAATGTCCTGTAGAAGAGGCACAACTGAAATTTCAGTTTTTTAAAGGATATTTAATGCGATGATCTTCTTTATTATTAATTGCTGGCTCGAATGAGTCACCGCATCCTTCCATTCACCGACTGACAAGAACGAGAAAACATGGACGCTGGCAGACGTTCAGAAGTTACACGTACCGTTTATTTTCACTCGCTGATGTTGCAGCTCATTAAAATGCTCTATCAAGACCAACAAGCAGCAGTCAGAATAGATGGAGAGACATCAGACTGGTTTGGCATCAAGCAAGGAGTCCGTCAGGGATGTGTGCTGTCACCGTATTTGTTCAACCTGTACGCCGAAAATATAATGAGAAATGTAAGAGATGATATAAACAAGGAACAATATGATGCCCTAAACATCGGTGGTCATGAAATACCAGAAATTCGTTATGCTGATGATACAGTATTACTATCAACATCACAAAATGGTTTAGAAAACTTATTAACCTCACTCCAGAGAAATAGTGAAAATCATAACTTATTTCTTAACATAGCAAAAACAAAGATAATGCATACAAACAAAACTGCCATGGAGAAGGAAATATATGTTAATGAGGAAAGATTGGAAGTGGTGGAAAATTTCGAATATCTTGGGTCACTGGTTACCAACAATGGTGACACAATGAAAGAAATTAAACGGCGACTATCAAATGCTCTTCAAAGACTAAAACAACTGAATAAATTATGGAATTGTACAGATAGAACTACAAAGGTCAGATTTTTAAGAGCATGCATCTTTCCCATTGCAACATACGCCTGTGAGACCTGGACACTTACTAAACAAGCGGAACAGCGCATAAATGCATTTGAATATAAATGTTACAGACAGGTTCTAAGAATATCTTGGGTAAAGAAAAGAACAAATGCATCCATACTTCAAGAGCTGAATATTGAAGAGGGTTGGCTAGTAAAGACAATAAAACAAAGAAAATTGAAATATTTTGGTCACTTGAAACGTCATGGAAGTCTAGAGAGAACAATAATGGAGGGGTATATGCCTGGGAAGAGAGGAAGAGGAAGGCCAAGGAGAAGATGGGTGCAGGATGTGGCAGATGATCTCCAGATGGGTGTATCAGACGCAGGACATCTTGCTCAGGATAGGAAGGTTTTCCGGAGGGTTGTTATGGCAGCGAGGTTCCGCGAGGGACATGCTACTGAATGAATGAATGATGTTGCAGTCAGTAAATGTTCATACACAACAGTATCACTCATCGATTACTTATTCAATGATCTAAACAGTCAGTCATACCTTTGTAACATCGTAGAATTCATCCCACAACTTAGCGAAACACAGTAATTCCATCCAACCAGACGACAGTCATTCACAGCTGGCCACCGTTTCCGTCAGCCGCTATTTCATGCCAGGTAGGCATTGGGAAATCACGCTATCCAGACGCCAACATTCTTCCGGACTTCATCTTCTCAGGTACACATTCCCTTGGCCTAAACGAGACTGCCTCTCAATCCTTTCTCCGCTATTATATAGCCCTCTGATCTCTGTCATGTTCGTCTCGAATATTCTGTATAACTTCATTCTCACGAATTCCCCACCGTTGAAAATCGTGTCTGGCCCGTGATAATTCGCATTTCACACGAAGCCTGCCAGTCAACCTTCATGGTTCACGTGAACAATCATGTTTCACATAAAACCTGACTTTCAGATGTCTCCCATGAAACTCGGACACAAATCTTGTGTTATCCCAGTCAGTCAAAACATTCCCCTTACATTTATTACTGACGTCATCTGTCGGGCATAAATTAATGGGGAGAAAATGACTCACTACATTTAAGGATTTATGTTTTTGTATATATTTATGTAAACTGTATAGTAATGCATGTGATGTAGTATAGTAAAAAATGCTATTTATTGTGCAGTAAGTATATCTTTTGTGTCCTCATTGTGTAGATTCACAATGGGAAACATTGTTTGAAATTACATTTTTCTCTGGACAGTCAAGTAGTTTTGTTGGCAAATATGTTTATCCTATTAACTTAACCAAGTCATAGACCAGGGCCATTTAGCGAAGTTTTCTCAGGAACCAAGATGTTGGAAAATAAGGATCATCGTTGTCACAACTATAGGAGAGCCCTAGGAAGCGTAGGGTTCCTATACGGGAGGTATCTTCAGTCTATAAGTGTGGCTCACTAGAAGTATGGTACTTCATTGTCTACTAGGGTAGAAAGACCGAGATATTACTCCTGGGACAGAGGACAGGAAGATAAGTCTACCCTGCTCCGATGGGTGGTGCTAGGCCGACTAATTATCCTGGTGGCAACTCCTCTGCCACTTTTAAAGAAAGAGCCCCCAGAGAAAGAAAGCGAAGAATGCCCCCTTCTCGCTCACTCAACTATTACTCACGCACAGCAACAAAGACAGAGAGAATAGTAGTGAATGAAGAATGATGTCGCTTTAATTTTTCTACAACTGACTGGCTAAAAATTGACAGTGGTTTGATGTTTGTTTTTAAACCAAATGGTTCTCATCATCAGGTTAGAGAAATGTCTACTGGGTCCAGTTCCTTCCCCCGCACGAGTACAGCTCACCCGTGGATACTCCCAAAGGTTGGACTTGATGGGGAAACCGGAACACTTGGCTTCTTGTAGATCTTTATTTCTTGTGATATCCTCTTGTAGATAATCCACCGCTGATGTTCTTAAAGTTCAGATACGACACGTGGTCGTTTTAAAAGTACGACACGTGGTCGGTTAAAAATACGACTAGTAGTCGGTTATGAATACTGGGATTAAATCCCTTAAACTGTCTCTTTGTCTGTGCCGATTCTATGGCGACATGACAATGGGTACAATTGTGTACTAATCGTTGAGTCGTTGGTGTTATGAAAAATGCCGCAGGGCTGGGGGAAGATAGTAAAAGCCCTGATAAGCGTGTGCAAAAAGGGAACACGTTGTTTCCCGAATTAGCTGGTTCCCTGGGCCCTTCAGAATTTATTAACTGAATTAAACATTAATATAATTCAGTTACGATGGTTTACAAAGTGCACCGCATTTAAATATTAGCTTCAGCACTAACTAGTAAAGGTAAGGTTAAACGCACGTGGCCATATATATTTTTTTATCGGTTACCTCTAGAACTCCAGCCAGCAAATTCAGGGATAACAATTTTAATATAATGCTACATTAATAGTACACTTACAGAAGTTTCACAATTAGAAAAAGAGTGCCAACTTACCCCCCAGATCGGTCAGAAATCACTACAGTAATCCAGAACGAATTAATATAGAACTACACTCGCTAATCTGGATACTGCACTTGAAAAACTAACGATCTCACTCGACCACGTTTGGAATTGGAATGACCGAAACATGGCGACTTCCGCTCAAAATGGACGACCCACGTGACGCCAGTCATGCGCATGCGCCAAAAAGATGAAGCGCCATCTGGTACGTTCTATTTGATTGGTCGGACCGGGCACTTTGATTGGTTGCAAAGCTAGTAATCCATGAGTTGAATGTAACTAGTCCAATCTGGTTTTTAGCGGAAAGTATTAGGGAAAGGCCGGTTGCTAGGCGACGCGAAAATCTCATCGAAGTTGTGTAAGCACTCGCATCCTCTAACTTCTAATATATATATCTAGCTTCTGCCCTAAACTATAAGGTAACTAGGGGAGCGTCAGTGGTCATTGCCAGTACTGTCACAATCGTGGGCTAGAGACTTGAGCTCCAGCGTAGAAAGATCATTAATATAATACAGTTGGCAAGCGATAGCGGGACACTTGCTTGGCCTTTGCAGGCCAGATTTGGCCCTCGGGTCGCTAGTTAAATAGCCCCAGTCATAGACCTGTGAGCTCATTGCTTTGAAACAGTGTTGAAAAGGAGATACAGCATTTGCTGTTGTATTTAAATAAGGTGGACACAAAGGGTACTTTACACAATTTATGGCGAGGCATATTTTGCTGAATCTTGACAGGTGTATTACTACAGAAGTACGTCCGTGTACCGTGAAGCACAATAACTGAATAAATTCCACTTCTTCTTAACTTTCACCTGCTGTAAACTTCGGCAAAAAATAAAATTCTGATTGTTTGTCCACTTCTGGTCTTGAGTCTTGTCCCAGAACTTGAGTTTTGCCTGCAAATTCATTTGATTATTTTTATGCACTGTTGGTTCCTTGCCTGTCTCCTGACTTCGAAGGAAATAACCCTAATTAGTCTTTTTTGACACGCTTTTTGCTGGAGCAGTGGGTCTGGCGCCCCCCCCCCCCCCCCCCACACACACACACACACAGATACACACACAGTGGGAGATGGAACCCACACTGGGAAGTAAATTCCACTGAAATGCAAATCGTCTCTCTTAGTACATTGTTTGCCTAATCGCCAGAAGTTCACAGTAGTCATGTGACTTACCTGTGTAACTTCACATTAATACTGCCAGGAGAAATGTTAACATCACCCCTGAGGAGTTGTCACAGTGGTGTCAGCTTGCCTGTCTACTATTTTTTTAACTTCCCTTTGGGAACTCTTTTGTGTGGAGTTGTTTATTCTTGTATAAACTCTTATTTCAATTGTTGATTCTGGTGTCAGGGTTGGTACTTGAATAAAATGTGACTTAAGCTGGCTGTATAGTTAGGTGTGCTTGGTCACAAGGCAGAGCGGATATTGGAAACAGGATGCCATGGATCTTGTTGTATGGAGTAGAGAAATCAGGAAGGGAATATGAATAAAGGAGAAAATGAGAGCAGATAGGTTAAAAGCCAAACGTCTGAGAAGTACATTAAATACATGTGATAGCAGCAACGATCCTGAAATCCTGTGCACTAATTGTGGAAGAATTTTCTAAATGCTAGTCGTCTCCGCCTGGCTGTGATTTCCAAACCTGCCTATCGCACAATATAACACTGTATACTGAAAAGATGGAGAGATGCGTCAATAAATCTTAGTATTGAAGACCAAATCTTTGAAATCCTAATGATCTTCCCCAGGTTTTTCCCATGGAAATAGCTTTGCATCCTCCTTCTTCTCCCAAGACCCTGTTGCAAGCTCAGGGTAAGTACCTGCTTGTGTGCAAACGTGTACTGTTGTCTGAGTTAAGGGGATGTTCGTAAACAGTCCCTTCAAGGTTGTGACAGTCAGTTGAACCCATTTTACCATGGCTCTTAGTTATACCATTCATTCATTCATTCAGTAGCGGAACCTCGCTGCCATAACAACCCTCCGGAAAACCTTCCTATCATGAGCAAGATGTCCTGCGTCTGATACACCCATCTGGAGATCATCTGCCACATCCTGCACGCATCTTCTCCTTGGCCTTCCTCTTCCTCTCTTCCCAGGCATATACCCCTCCATTATTGTTCTCTCTAGACCTCCATGACGTTTCAAGTGACCAAAATATTTCAATTTTCTTTGTTTTATTGTCTTTACTAGCCAACCCTCTTCAATATTCAGCTCTTGAAGTATGGATGCATTTGTTCTTTTCTTTACCCAAGATATTCTTAGAACCTGTCTGTAACATTTATATTCAAATGCATTTATGCGCTGTTCCGCTTGTTTAGTAAGTGTCCAGGTCTCACAGGCGTATGTTGCAATGGGAAAGATGCATGCTCTTAAAAATCTGACCTTTGTAATTCTATCTGTACAATTCCATAATTTATTCAGTTGTTTTAGTCTTTGAAGAGCAATTGATAGTCGCCGTTTAATTTCTTTCATTGTGTCACCATTGTTGGTAACCAGTGACCCAAGATATTCGAAATTTTCCACCACTTCCAATCTTTTCTCATTAACATATATTTCCTTCTCCATGGCAGTTTTGTTTGTATGCATTATCTTTGTTTTTGCTGTGTTAAGAAATAAGTTATGATTTTCACTATTTCTTTGGAGTGAGGTTAATAAGTTTTAATAAGTTATACCATTACTTTTTAATAATCGGTAAAGTGTTTGTTTTCTTTCAGTTTAGTTGTTAGTTGTACGGATACAAATAAGCAAGCATGCACACAGGTACACACACACACACTGGTCAATTATGTATATTTTATTTTCAATATTAATTTGTATAAATTGTCTAAAATGTTTTAGCAAGAAACTTTGGGGAAAAAGCTAACTATTATAATCTAAATAAAGGATGTTGGCTGTTTACATCTGATATAAATAATGGGGATGATTAAAACTTAATTAAAAAATAGATATAATGAGACTATATATGTTGCTTCTATAATATGGTAAAGAAATACTGACTTATAATCTAATTGACGATCTGTTGTAATCAAGTCGGATACTGACGTTTGTTACTGGTTGGAAGAATACTGAAATTTATAATTTAGTCTTATGATGTGGGATGCTGATTTACACGATCTTGTTGAAGGCTTTCGTATATTCTGAAGATAACCTGCGATGACAACGCAGTGTAACTAAAGTACCACTGCACAGGTAGAGGCTTATATAGTTGTTTTAAGGCAACAGGGTTTACTTCAGGGTGCTGGATATTATCCAGTATCTCTTAGTCTCTCCTTGCAGAGCTGCTACTCACTCGCTGTGTCTTACAAACAGCACAAAACCTGTAACTCCATCAAAAGCGTCTCCGGGATTTATGAAGCTCCGAGACGGAATCCCCTAGTGTTAGGCCAGCGGCTTTATCACTTCTGATCGATGAATGGTGGAATCTAGCTGACTTTTGGGATGTAGTAAAATAAATACGCAGCTTTTATGAGCTATTGAATTTCATAATTTAGTAGCTGAACACTAACTTTAATCATATAGTTGCTGAATACTGACTTTTGTTGATTTGCATGATCTAGCTGCTTTTTAAAATCTAGTTAGAGTGTTTTAATTTGATTGCTGGATATTGAATGTTATAATAGTTACTGAATACTAACTTTTGTAGACTTGCATGATCTAGTTGCTTTAAAAAAAATGCAGTTAGACTTTTAATTTAATTGTTGGATATTGAATTTTATAATAGTTACTGAATTTTGTAGGCTTGAATGATCTAGTTGCTTTTTTAAAATCTAGTTGCTAAATAATGACTCTTATAATTTGCAGGATATTGACTTTTATTGTTTAGTTGCTTGAAAGACTTTTATAATTTAGTTGCTGGAAACTGACTTACTTAGACTTTTATGATGTATTTGCTGAATACTGACTTTTATAATGGTTGAAGGATGACTTATATATAATGTGGTAAAAGGAAACAGGTTATAATCTAGTTGCTGAGTAGTCACTGGATGCTGACTTCAAACTTTGCTGCAGGATTGAGGACAATTGGCCAGGCTTTCACATATATAAAAAAAATTAGTGAGTTGTTTCAGCAATGTCTAGTTTGCAGTTTTTATAGCAACATTTTCATAGCCCTCAGTTTAACCAGGTTTTTTTCCCCACATGAATGTACTCTTTTTTCTTGCATGATTTTGTTAGTGCCCTCTAATCATTATCAGTTCTCGTTATTCCTGGTGGCACTTAAGGCTTCAGAGAGGACTTTCTATGCTTTCCTGTCCTGTGCAATCTTTAGTGCAGTTTTCCATGTCAGAGATGCCGCACTCAGTTCACTTTTGGGCGCCCCTGTTTTCTCTTGCCCTCTGGTATCCATGTGAGAGCTGTTTTGGCAGGCATGTGAAGATTCATTCTCATAATGTGGCTAAGCCATATCTGTCCTCTCTTGGTTATTATACTGACTAAGAGTTTCTTGGTTTATGACATGAAGTAGCTTAGTGTTTGAGATTGTCTCTGGCCAGAAAATTTTGATTTCTGCGCAGTGTGCACTTTAATGGCAAAACTGAATTAGCAAGAGTGTCATTAATGATCAGACAGAAGTGTATTGATCAGATATCTTGCAGTTAATATATTATTACATGCATAATATTGTTGTTTGTTTACAAACACTAAAGTAGTGTTTATTTTTAAAAAAAGAGGACATTTTATTCATCTGGGTTCCTTTTTGGTGAAAAAATAATACACCTACTGGCCCATAAGAAACATGCCATAAAATGTGATTAATTAGAGGTGTTTCCTTCGAAGATTGAGTGCATCTGCCAGAGAGTTGAGGAATCAACAGTCTACATACAAATACACCACATCTGTAAGACAGATGTGCTCACGAAACTTAAGTTCTGAAGCTGGATCAAAGTCCAGAAGTGGATGACTAAAAATGAGCCCGCTGCTTTATACTACCCACAGAGTGGTATTTAATGCAGTTCAAGATTTAAGACAAAAATAGTTGTAAACACAGATACATCATCATCATGTAGCAGGTCCTTTGCAGAACATTGCTCTCATCACAGTCTGCCTGAAAAAAACTTGGTCTCTCACCAGCTCTCCTGCCTCATGTACTTTGATACTCAAGGAGCCCCTGCTCCTCCTTCCGGGTACCATGCCTTCTGCAATCATGCCTTCTGCTATTATTTTTTCCAATCTGTCGTGACGCTTCATGTGACCAAAATATTTCAGCTTTCGAGACAGTTTATTAGCCAGTCTGCCTTGATGTTCAGATCTTTCAAGGTGTCAGTATTTCCCTTCTTCTTTGTCCAAGGTATTCTGAGAATCTTCCTATAGCATTTCAGCTCAAAAGCGCCTATTCTCTTTCTGAAGGACAAACACAGAAACATTTCAGTATATTATCAGTAGTCTGGATTTTACAATATGTTATTGAGTATAAATGGAGAAGACTCAGAGTTTCAATTTAACTGGGGCATGCATACACAGTGATAAATGCCAGTGAGTGTATGTGAGCGCACATATACATACATTGCCTTTTTGTAGAAAGAAGGTGCCGGTACTCACCACAAAGTGTCTATTACAGAAACACTAAAAAGTATGCCTAAAAAGTTACTAGTACTCTGAACCATATGTAGAAAAAAACAACATACACACATGTAAATATATATATGTGTGTGTATATATATATAATTTACACACACATATATGTATGTGTAAATATAATTTGTACGCACACATTAATATGTATGTATAATAATTGTGTGTGTGTGTGTATATATATATATATATATGTATATATATGCACACACATCTATATATGTGTGTACAAATTATTTTTACACATACATGTGTGTGTGTGTGTTAATGTGTGTGTGTGTATATATAAAATAAGTAATTCAAACTCATTGCGTTGCGATTCTAAAACCAATGTTAAAATGAGATTTGGACCACTCCCAGCACGACTTGACTCATCCTGGCTCACCTGTTGCTTGGCTTTCTGCTTAGCTTATTAGCCAGAGTTTTTGTTCCTAGTTATTTCTTGTATTTTCTTACTCACTGCATGTTTGTCCTCTTGACGGATGTGTATTTGGCACCGTTAATTTGCAGGTTTTAATGAGTCATGGAGTGTGAGAGATGGAAAGAATGGGGATGGGGGAGTAATCTGCAGCTAAAGGGAATGAGGCAGACAGCTGGTGAGAGACTGAGAGGGAAGGAGATGATTTATCTAGAATGAGGGAGGGAGAAAGGAAATGTTAGTGATAGGGATGATAGTGGAAGAAATGAAGAGTGACAGAGAGGGAAGGGATTGTTTTATCTAGAATAAAGTTGGGAAGAACTGAACAGAAAAAAAAATGGAGAGTGAGATAACATTGAACTAGTGTCAGAGTGGGGAAGATCAGGAGTTTTGCATCTGCATCTGTTTTTACGGATATGACATATTTGTATGCAGACTGTTGGTTTCTTGTCCCGCAGGTGTATACATTCCGATTTTAAAGGAATCAAATGCAGTAAGCAGTAATTTTTCATTTGGAATAAAGAATTGACAATCTATCTCATCTCATAAAGATATAAGGATGAGCCCATACACCTATTATATTTACTGCTAGTACAGTTAGATTCATCTGCATGTTCTCACTGCTAACCTGAAGCTGTGGCAGAATCATGGCTAGTTAGTTAGTACATGGGTCTGTGAACATGGTGGTCATGAGGTTTAGTCTTCATTAACCATGTAGATATTAGTAACCGACTTCCTTTGAAGGTAGATATCAGGAAAAAACTTATAGGAAATTACTCACACAGACTCACTCTCTCTGTCTGTGTCTCTCTGTGTGGGTGTGCACGCGCCTGTCTGTCTCTCTCTCTCTCCTCTCTGTGTGGGTGTGCGTTCATGCATCTCTGTATGTCCCTCTCTCTCTCTTTTTCTCTCTTTCTCTCTCTCTCTCTCTGTGTACACACGCCTGTTTCTCTCTGTGTGTGTGTGTGCACGCGCCTGTCTGTCTCTTTCTCTCCTCTGTGTGTGTATGTGTTCATGCATATCTGTCTGTATGTCTCTCTCTCTCTCTCTCTCTCTCTTTCTCTCTCTCTCTCTCTCTCTCTCTCTCTCTCTCTCTCTCTCTCTCTCTCTCTCTCTCTCTCAAAAAGAGAGATTGATAACTATGGAATTACTTCCAACAATACATGATACTATGAAAATACACCATATATATATATATATATATTAGGGAATGACTTGTAACATTTACAAAAAGAAGTCATACCAAGGATGGATATCAGGAAATGACTTTCATAAAAGTTAGAAAATAGATATTTATATGGAACATAACACAACATGCAAGTCTGTTTGTTATTGGACTAAATGATTGCAAATTTATTGAACAGTAGCTAATATTTGATCCAGCAAATTGATTGCAAGTGTCATTGATAGTATCATAGCAGAGCTGATTGATAAAGTGTTTCTATTCTTGTAGAGAATATACTGAATATAAACATTTTTTTCCACATCCATGTTACATTTGTTTTAATTTTAATTTTATTTACCCTTGTTGATGGCATCAACATTGCCTGGTTGTAACAGTTTTTATATTCAGTGTTGTAAGTCTTCGTTTATGCTCATTTGGTGGTTTTATTTGTAAACATCCCCAGCCCCCCCCTCTCCCTCTCTCTCTCCCAGCCCCCCCCCTTTCTCTCTCTCTCTCTCTCTCTCTCTCTCTCTCTGAAAAATATAAAGATGTATGTAATTTTATCAGAGGCACACACTTAGAAATTATATATTGGTCGGCAATGTATTGTATACAGAGCTTTTCACTATTGAATATAGTGCCAACATTTGACTGTAGATGCACACTGCTCTTTTTATTTGCTTTTCCTAAAAAAATTAATAGTAACAACAGCAGGAAGTTTTGTATGCTTTTGTTGTCATCATCAACCTCATCCTCATTATCATCATCATGAATTTAATTTTCTTTTTCCCTTTAAAAAGCATGCAACTTTCAGTGCAGTTAGTTGTTCTCCAAGAAGCCTGAAATAGTTGCTGTAGTAGCATGTTTTGTTTGTTGTCTTAAGAATGTAATCAGTTTAACACAGGAAATATACAAGAAAAAATGTATCGTTGCTCTGATATCAGTGTAACACAGACTAACATATGGCTGCTCAGTGTTTGATGTAATACTAAAGTATTCTGTAGCTCAAGTTCACTTACTTCTCCAAGATCACTATAGTATTGGTTAGCTTTAAGTTCACTTACTGCTCCAAGATCACTGTACCACTGAAGCATTGATTAGCTTCAGTTCACTTACAGCTCCAAGATCACTGTACTACTGAAGCATTGATTAGCTTTAGTTCACTTACAGCTCCAAGATCACTGTACTACTGAAGTATTGGTTAGCTTCAGTTCACTTACAGTTCCAAGATTACTGTACTACTGAAGTATTGGTTAGCTTTAGTTCACTTACTGCTCCAAGATCTCTGTACTACTGAAGTATTGGTTAGCTTTAGTTCACTTACTGCTCCAAGATCACTGTACTACTGAAGTATTGGTTAGCTTTAGTTCACATACTGCTCCAAGATCACTGTACTACTGAAGTATTGGTTAGCTTTAGTTCACTTACTGCTCCAAGATCACTGTACTACTGAAGTATTGATTAGCTTTAGTTCACTTACTGCTCCAAGATCACTGTACTACTGAAGTATTGGTTAGCTTTAGTTTACTTACAGCTCCAAGATCTCTGTACTACTGAAGTATTGTTAGCTTTAGTTCACTTACTGCTCCAAGATCACTGTACTACTGAAGTATTGGTTAGCTTTAGTTCACATACTGCTCCAAGATCACTGTACTACTGAAGTATTGGTTAGCTTTAGTTCACATACTGCTCCAAGATCACTGTACTACTGAAGTATTGGTTAGCTTTAGTTCACTTAGAGCACCAAGATCTCTGTACTACTGAAGTATTGGTTAGCTTTAGTTCACTTACTGCTCCAAGGTCAGTGTACTACTGAAGGATTAGTTAGCTTTAGTTCAACTGTAGACTAACATTATTCGCTAGATGTGAAATTTTTGTCACCTCCTAGTGGGTTGTGGGGCCTTATCTGGGGGGGGGGGGGGGGGGGGGGGGGGGGGGGGGGGGGGGGGGGGGGGGGGGATGAATAGACTCACAGTCCACACACCTCAGACATGTTGTATATGGCATCTAATTAGCCTCATGTCAGGTGTGTTGGACTAAAAGACTCAGATACCACAGCCTAGCTGTAAACCACAGCATACTGTACCATCTGCCATTTTTTAGGGCAAACATAGAGGAAGGAGTAAGTCAAAATATTTCGTTATAAATGTGAAATTTTATGTAATTATTTATTTGAGGTGTTATTTATTATCCTGTAATCTTCAGTGGGTTTAGATGCTGCATGCTGTTTGGGTGTCCGGTTTGTGTGTGCATGATTGTCCTCACTGTTGTCTCTTGTGTCATGGCAATTGGTGCTGTTATATTGAAACTGTATGGAAGCAACAGGTGGCCTGGCAGTTAGGGTGGATGGCTTCTCACATTTAGTAACATGGGTTCTAATCCTTAGCAGGGTAAACTTTGCTAGTACATGGTATATCATCTGTCAGGTCAAGCAGTCTTTAATTCATTCTGTACCAATTCTGTATTTCTGGTTGAGGGCCTATGCTCCTTTTGGGGATGACGGGAAGAAGAAAAATTTGTTCAGTTCAAGATTAAACTAACAATTATCTTAAAAAATATGTTCGACTTTCCTCACCAAATCCACAATATGCATGGTAATTGAGTATTTCGAAATCACCAAATATTTAATGTCATTTATAAAAAGTCAAGTTTGTAAATGACTAGGTCTCACAATGAAAGCAAAGACTAGTAATACTGTAGCCTACCATATAAGCCATAAGAGCTGACTCAGAAAGGTTGACATGGAAGTGACTTCTCATCCTATAAAAAAAAACTTGAGCCGCAAGATCCAGCCAGTAATGAACTAGTTCCCTTTATCTCACGAGGTGGTTTAATGTCCAGGCTAGCAGTGTGAAATGAGGCAGTAGATAAAGAGTGGGAAGAGGATTAAACTGAGTTTTTTAAAGGGGGTGGGGAGCTAGATTGATCAAAATAAAGTGAATTAAAAGCTAACTAATAAGAAAATAAATTTATTGATAAATAGAAGAACAGGTAATGTGTAAACTGTTAGGAGCAAAAGTTGATTGGCAAATAATTAGGAAAACAGTTAATTGGGTAATGATTAGGAAAAAAGTTAATTCGTAAATCATTAATAAAATTTAACAGCAAGAATTGAGGCTCAGCACTCAAACAAATTGTGTGGGCAGATACCAGTGGTAGTAACAAATGTTATATAGTTATCAATGACAAAGTTGTCATGTAGCAGCCATAATGAGAAATATTGTCTTCCTGTGAGAATAGTGAGAAGGTGACTTGGCTTCACTTCCATGGCAAAATCCTTGGCTATTTTCAGCTATGGTCGACCATTCCGACGGAGACGTGGCGAGAACAGCAGGGGTAGATATGGTGGCGGGCTGCACCACGTCCACCACACCCACCACCCTTTCCTTGGCTTCCCTCGTGTGCACTTTGGTGGATTTCCTATGATGTCAATGTCCATGATGACGGATCCCTTCATGAGCTTCCCTGGATCCAACGCTGGGTATGGCAAACTTTGAATAGGGTTTCTGTGTATGTGTTTTTGTGTACAGCGTGTTTCACAGTGATGTTTTCAAGGTGTAAAGTTGTAATATTTGCACATTTGAAATTTTTGGTTTACCCCACCTGAAAAGTGAACTGTCTGAGTTTAAATAATAGATAAACTGTCCGAGTTTAGACAATTGCTAGATAAAGTTACATTATGGCACTAAATGATTGTTTTGAAGATACCTTGTAAAGTGAATATCCGAGTTTAAATAATAGATAAACTGTCCGAGTTTAGACAATTGCTAGATAAAGTTACATTATGGCACTAAATGATTGTGTTGAAGATACCCTGTACAGTGAATATCCGAGTTTAAATTATAGATAAACTGTCTGAGTTTAGACAATTACTAGATAAAGTTACATTGGGGCAATACATGATTGTGATGAAGGACACATTGTAAAGATTGGAAACAAATTTGTCGAAGTTTAAAAAAAAATTCCTTTGCAGTTGGAAAACATACCAGTAAAAAGCTATATATCAGTTACAAATAGAGGGAAAATAACGGATTCTCAAAGTGCTGTGAAGGCCAAATAACTAAGGCTGGATTCCATCCATGGTATTAAAAAGAGGCAATGAACCAACAGTTTGCATACAAATAAGCCAGTTCTGCCAAATGGATGTGCACACAAAATTCAAGTGCTGGATCAAGACTAAAGTCCAGAAGTGGACAAACAATGAAAACTTTACACTGGAGTTTACAGTCAGTGAAGCGAAGAAGAAGAAGAGAACAAAACGATGATGAAAGTGCTGTATAAAACCTGTACATTTATATGCAGTTGAAACATGCATAATACACAAGCAGGCCAAGAAACATCTAGTTGTAGCGTATATATGATTTCCCAGGAAAATGCACATACCATGGACTGAATTTTAAAAAAACCAACATGTTTGCAGTGTTTCAAGAAACGGATTAAAACCTGTATTAATTTGAAATTAACAAAATAAGAGGAGGCATACTGGGAGTAGGAGTGAACTGGAAAACTTTGGAAATAGGCAGAGAGGTCGATGCTTGAATCTGTCTTGGCCATGTGAAATTATTGAGGCAAGGACACAGACATGATCCAAGATTTTTTTGATCACATGAGATGGGAAACCATGACCGCCCATTGTTACCAGCATGGCACATGATGATGGTGACTAGGTGAGCCGTTAGGGCATTATTGGAATGTGTTCAGACACAGTGGTCACAGGTTTGATGTAAAGCAGAGCAGAATGATGTTTACTGTTGGGGCATTATTGGAATGTGTTCAGACACAGTGGGCACACATTTGATGTAAAGCAGAGCAGAACAAAGTTGACTCAGGGTTCAAATTGTTTATCATGGGCCAAACGCTCAGGCCCCAACGTATAAAAGATCTATAATACAGTACAACTGGCAGTGATCTGCTGGCCAGTTTGGGCCCACAGGCTGCCAGCTGGCTAGCCCTAATGTAGATGATACTTGTGCAGGCTTGCTTGTTCTTTTAAGGCAAACTATAATTATAAGGATGATTAACTGTGGTTACTTGCATTATACCAGTATTACATTTTAAACACCTTTCTGGTGTGCGTTTGTTATCTTGAGCAGGCAAGGATATGTTTTTATTGTTCCTTGCAGAGAATGATTGCTTTATGACTTATTTTAATTGTTTAAAAAGTGTACTCAAGTCATGTGTTCAAGTCATCTAGATGACCTTAAGAATTTTTGGCTTATGTTGAAGATATTGATTTTTTTAAACGTTTGTCTTAGAAAATTATGTACTATTACACATGCTGTTAGTGTCTCTCCTGTGCTCTCTTGGGATTTATATTCTTTATATAGTTTCTTTATTGTTTTTTTTTTTTTTTTGTAGATTGATTTAAGTCCATGTTTTGTGTTGTTACAATTTTTATGGTGACTCATTTTAAATAGTTTGACATGCCACATTGTCCTTGTGGTTTGTATTTGTTGTTGAAATTCTTCCATGTAACTTTCTTCATCTTAAAGTTATGACGGCTGAGAGGATTGATTTCTTTGCAGACATATTTATCCTTTCTGGCACATTTTCGTTCTGCTGCCTACAGAAAGAATCACACAGCACAAACTCCCTAGTTCCACTCACAACCCCAAGGAATTTCCTCCCAAAATTGCCTCTGTCAACACACAGTCTCACCTCTTTGAGTACTAAAAGGCAGTTGAGTTTGTTACAGATTAACTCCTGACACTCTCCTTGGTATCCAGAGAGTTGAATCAAACACAACATTCGGCTGCTCTTTCAACATTTTAGTGCAACATTAACATAGAAGCCACAGTTGTATTATTATTTTGTTTCTGTCAGGGGGTGGGGGTAAGGGGATTAACAATCCTAACCTAGACACTCCCTGGTGAGTGGGTACACTAGCCATGTGACCCAGCTTCCTCAAGCTGAAGATCTTCCCATCCTAACTGTACCTCATGAAATGAGCACCTGAATTGTCTGGCAAGGAAAGATGTTGGAGAAGGGAACTGGCCGCTCCATCTCTGTTTACTGGCGACTAGAACCATGGTTGTCATTCAGCTCAGAACTATGGACACCTTTTGTTTTTGAATATCTTCTACAGAACCCTCATTTTTTATGAAGAACTTATAATTCATCAGTATTTTTAGAATCACAAATATGATTGCATTATAAAATTACGGGTTTTTGTTTTGTGAATATTGTCACTGGCCCTTTAAATTTGTTCGATGGGCCACCAAATGAGAAACTTTAGTCTAGAATGTAAAGTGACTAATGGCAGTATCTACCAAGACGCTATCTTTATCTTGTTCATATGTAGGACGATTCAGGTTAGTAATGGTACCTCTGAGGTAGACAAGGTGGATCATACATAGTAATGCAGTGGCATTTCTTTGTCTAGTTGAGAGCAGTGCTAGTCTAGGTGATGGCATTCTTTTGTTTTGTTGATATCACTGCTTCGTCAAGTTGACAACACTAGTCTGTGTGGCAGCATCTCCTTGACTACTGGGTAACTGTTAGAGTTGGGCTTGCCTCATGTACTCACACTCTACAATCAATTCTTTAGAAGAGCAGTGATTGCTGTAAGCTGTCCCCGGTGGTAGATTTTCTCAGTATGATGCAAGTCTTTAAAATGCCGCCCCTAAAAGCTTTGTGCTATCTTAGCAAAAGTTCAAATTATATTTTGATTTAGCTGCCCCCTCCCCCCCTCCGCACCCCCCTCCTTATGATGCCAGCTGATATGGCTACACCCCGGTATCATAGCACAGTCCTGGTCCTGAGGAAGATGAATAGTAAATTTCCCAAGCCTTGCACTGAATTTGTACATACAGTTACTGTTACTTGTTGAATGACCAAGTCTAACCCTAAGAACAATAGGCAGCAGAAGGAGCACTTTTGAATATTGTTTTAAATATTTCAACTGCTGTTCTTCTTAGGCACAATAACCATTCTTTGCCACAGCCATATGTTTGTCCGGGACATGCTTACCCAGCATGCACAACAAGCCTGTTTATTCTTTCATATAATTCACATACATTTATATCTGTGCATAAATATGTACCCCGGTCTTTTGTCCAAGGTGGATATATATATATGCTTTGTCTTGTTTATCAGTATACATATATTCTTTGCCTAGTTTCACAAATGTATTCTTTGTTACGTCTCAGAGTTATTTATCATATGTCATAATGAACCTAAGTGGATCATTTATCAACTGCCATAATTAATTATCAGCATATTTATGTCTCTGATGGGTCTTAAAGCATATTTATGTCTCTGATGGTTCATAAATAGACACACATATACACTGTTACATTTGATAAACAGACATAATTATCTAAAGAGGTCCAATTTAAAGGATTCTGTTTGCATGCGCCATAACAGAAATGTAATTTTTGTCGCTTTGCTAAATACAGTGTCATTAGAACTGTGAAATGTGCAGTTCCACGCACAGATTTTGCTGGTATTTTCTCATGAACGAGGAAATGGGCGCTGACATTAAGCTAAAGGATTATATAATCTACAAATATAGTGAAATTATATTGAATATTATCTATGATATTGTGAAAACAAGGGGCACTGCTGTTGTACTGTGCCTGCGCGTAAGCCGCCGCTGTTGTTGCGTTAATTAAACACTGTTGTTGCGTTAATCTACTCTGACCCAGTAGTTAATATCATTCTTTCTTTTTTCATTGTTGTATTTTACCTGTTTTAGACCAAAATGTTGGTTTAATTTAATTACATTCTTAAAAAAAATGCATTGAATGAATGTTGAATGTTAAATTAAGAATCACAGAACTGGGGACAACAAAATGCATTGAATGAATGTTGAATGTGAAATTATGAATGACAGAATTCGGAACAACAAAATGCATTGAATGAATGTTGAATGTGAAATAATGAAAGACAGAACTCAAGACAACAAAATGCATTAAATAAGTGTTGAATGTTAAATTAAGAATCACAAAACTTGAGACAACAAAATGCATTGAATGAATGTTCAATGTTAATTAGGAATCACAGAACTCGCTACAACAAAATGCATTGAATGAATGTTTAATGTGAAATTAAGAATCACAGCACTCGGGACAACAAAATGCTTTAAAAAGATTTAATAATAATTTTCCAATAATCACATTTCTGCACACACTTTCATCCATATTTAAGACATCATTTGTTGTATAAGTTGGCTCTGTGGCTAAGTCAATGTGAAGGCTTCGTAATGCCGGTATGCCGGGTTCGATCCCAACTGCGGGCCATGTGCCTTGCGTTGATTTTGACAGTGGTATCAAGAAAACCGACCATCCAGAAAGCAGTGGCAAACTACTGGACGTAAGTTGCCTATAAAAACCACACAACAGCCGGAACTAACCTTGTTGTATAAACGCTGTAAACACTTTGTGGCAGTCTGATATAGTCTGCTTGAGAGAGTGATGCAGGTGTATACAGTTTGCTGGTCAGAAGGTTGAGTGGTGGCCACTGTTGTGTTTTGTTTGTGTG